TTGCACAATTTGTAATTGTAACCGGACTGGATTGTTTGTTTACATTAAATAGTGAATCTAAACACGTTAAACATTTGGCCATTATAATAGAATATGATCAAAAGCAATACTTAGCAAGAAGTTGGATTTGGAGGCTGACAAAAAAGCAATCAATATTCTTCAATTATAGATTAAATTCGGGTATTTTTTTCTAAAATTTATGCTTGCAAAAAAAAAGGTATGTCTATTTTTAAATATTCACAAAATGTTGGTTATAATTATAGACTGCACTAGAGTCGGCTGTGCGTGCACACTGCACAGCCATCCGCCAACTAGTAATTATTCAGAAAATAATATTTAATTAGACTATGTAACAACATCTAATCATCTATTGTCTTTTTTTAGCATAAAAATTGCAAAAGTGCCACATCATGTCAGCAACATCAACCTAAATTACGTTCAATTTTATATGGATCAATATTTTCATATTTTTTATTTATTTTTTTTGTACCCAAAAAAAAAAATCATATTTTTTATTTTGTTTTTGTACATTCTTGTTAGCTTCCCTTTGGATATCATCATTATACTTTTTTTTTTATGTATTTTTTCTTCCATCTTAAAACTCACTAGTTATAATTAAAATTTATTTTTTAATAAATTAATTATGAAAAGTGAAATATATCCCACCAATCAACTCTAACTATCAAAATTAAATTATCAGACATTTGCAATCATAATTTCTTCTTCCACCAATCTAATTATTTATAAAACTTATTAACTCACATATATTTTTATAATTCAAGATTATCAGCAATTCCCAAGGAAATTTACGAGCAAATGCCATTTAACGTCATACACTTTGAGTTCAAGTTTGGCTATGTTATTAAACTTTACACTTGATTCGGCAACTTCCCTGTCAACAACCTGCAAAACAACTTCAACTTTAGAAACACAAAGTGCATTTACGAGCCGAGAGCCGCTCACATGACGGCAAGTAATAACAATAACACGACGGAAAGTAACAACGTACCTCATGATTAGAGTCGTAACCGGATAGGTTTAGGCCCTTGGTGTCACAAACACAACTAAGAAACTTTATAACCTCATGATAGGAGCAGTTGCTGTTGGTGGAATACTCTTTGAAGAAGATTTCCACATAGAATAAGGGATTCATATCGACTGGAATACCTACACGAGAACCGTGCATGTGGAGATGCCTAAGCGCCGGGGCATCTATTATCATCTGATATTTGGCGGGCTTCATCCCATGTCCGGAGAAAATCAGCAACCAGTGAGGTTCAAGAGTGACCCTAAGCACTTTTAACGAGGATGATGATATATTAATTCTTAACTTTTCAGTCTCCCATCGATGAAAGATCAACTCCTCGAGCTTAGGAGAGCCGTCAAGCAAGTTCGGAAGGGTGTCGTCGCCCTGAAACCCGACAAAGTGGAGATAAAGCTTCCTGAGGCTAGGAAAACACACATTCGCACTCGACGGGATGCATTTACACGACCGAAGTGTCATGTCGACCACAGTTTTGCAGGTGAAGAGGGGTGTTGTCGGCAACATTACATGACCATAAAAGTTAAGATTAAGATTCCGGACATTACGCTTGATGGCGGCGGCAAACAATTTCTCGAATTGATAGTCGTCGTCGAAGCAATTCATTTTAAACGTGAAAGTGGATATGCTCTTCGCCTCGTGTTGTAGTAGAAAACGGTGGATGATGTTGTCCGAGTACAGTGTTTTTCTCCAGTAGCATGTTTCGTCGAAATTGAAACAGGGGACAAGGGTCCACAGGAATCTCCACCTACTAGCTAGAACGCTAGTGGCAACCGAGAATTTGGTCGGGAGGAAAGAGAGAATGTGACATATAACGTCGTCCGGCAAGCCGCCCAACCTATCGATTTTATGAATCTTTTGGGGTGCTCTACTGAATTTGGTCGGGAGGAAGAAAGAGAGAATGTGACATATAAAGTCGTTCAGCAAGCCGGCAAGCCTATCGATTGCCGGCATTTTATGAAGCTTTCGGGGTGCGTGTGTTCTACGAGATGGCGATCTTCTTCTTGTTCACGAGAGATGGCGATCTTCTTATAGATCGAAACATTATTTAATAATATGCGGGGGAGATTGTGTTAGAAAGTGAATCAAATCTCTTCCCCGTAAAGGATAAATAATTTGCTGTCTCACTAGGTAATGTTTTCATAAATATACTTCTTTAAACTTCTATGCTTAATTAATCGAATATTTTCATATTAACTTCGCAATATTCCAAAAATCATAGTCAAAATTCCCATGCCAAATTACTTTATTTAATAATGTTGAACTCGGATCAAGAAGTAATGCAACTTCGGTTAATTTACTTGTATCATTGACTTATGCTTCAGTTACAAATTTTAATTTATATATAAAAAAAAAAGCATATTTATATAATCGAAAATCTATATATCTATACAAAAAGTTTGACATTTCTTTACTATAATATACAACAAAAAATCAGAAATTCATTTTGCACTTTACTAAATATATTATTTAATATAATGATTGGGCTCATTTATTTAAAAATCTGAACACTTTTTTTTTTTTTT